CCCCAAAACCCCAAAACCCCAAAACCCCAAAACCCCAGGGTAAAGAACCGAGATTGAAGAGAAAATAATTATCACTCTTTTAATCTAAACGTCCCATCTCTTCTGTTTTGGCTTGTAAATATTTTTCCTATAAGTTCAAATTTATTCTTACTGTTGTGAATTTGGGCGTTTATAAGTCTTCTTCGAAGATTTGATGAGTTTTCTTTTTGAAACACCTCTTGTCTCTGACCTGTTTCTCCCTGGCTTACATATTATCATAGAGTCTATAAATTAAAAATATACTCTATTTACTAGAAGCCCAATTTTGAGATTGTTCAATCTCCTTTAAAAGCTTTTGATCATCTTTAGATTCTTCTTTCTTCTGAGTTCTTCTATAATTAATAAATAGAAACTAATGTATAATTCAAAATATCTCATTCTCAACATATCTGGAACATTGGATAAAGACTTTCAAACTCAAATACCACATAAAATAAACAATCATGCTTATACTAAATGCTAAAGCTAAAATCACTAGAAATATCAATAAATCACCACAAAAGCTGCAAAAGCTCTGCTCAAATACCTAAAACGAGTTCCTAATATTTCCCACCTTCAACCAAACTCCCTTCCCAATCCTTCGCTAACCCCCAAAACAATCTTCACTTACGCATATAAGGCACCCATAGTCCCCTTCTCTGTAACACCTGAACCCACACCTGCTCCCCCATTCTTCTCTTCTTCCCTCCCATCTGTCTTCCCCACTCCATCCATCTCTACACCTAAAATCTTAATTTCTCCCCAAACTTCACCTACTTACCTCTATCTACCAATTTCTCCTTCTTCTCTACCATATTCTTCAGCACCTTCTTCGTGACTAAAGTCTGGTTCTGTGGAGGATTTTCGGAAGGTTCTTTAAAGGAATGGTTGAATTCGGAAGAAAGTGAGTGGTCTTCGGCAGGGGGTTGAGGAGTGGGATTAGGGGGGTTGGAGGGGAGGTTGGTTTTGGGGTGGGTGGTCAGGTGGGCAGGAAGGGGGTTTGGGAGTGTGGAGGGCTGGGGATTTGGGGGGGGTTGGATGAGGGGTTGGAAGAGGAGAGGGGGGTTTGGAGTGGTGGTTGAGAGGTGTCTTGGTCTCTTCTTTACTTAGTTTTGGGGTAGGGGTTTGTTTTTGGAGTGATGGAGTTTGTTCGTGTGGTTTTGGAATATGGTGTTTAAAGGGTGAGGATGAAACTTGAGCTTCAACTTTGGCTTTTATTGGATTATCAATATTTTCCTCTTGTACCAATTTATTTTTCGATTTTTCAAATTTTTCTTCTTCCTCCTCTTCTTCCTCTTCTTCATACTGTAAGTTTTCAAGAAATTCTAAATTACAGTTTAGATTTGCTTCACTTCCCACAAAGTTACTATAATAATCAAACTACACTAAACTGAGATTGCACTGGTATAGAAACTACAATGTCAAACTTTAGGTTGTTCTTTATTTCTAATTTCTTATGATTTCTTTTTATTATCTAACAATTATCAATCTTAAATTTTACAGATTCCTACAAAATTAATTTTTATTCTAGCATTAGATGATCTGAAATATGAGTAAGAAATTGAGGGTTATTTTTCAAATTTAATGAATCATTCTTGGTTATAGAGAGCTAATATTTTGATCCTTACCTAGCATCTTGGTTTTCGTTCTAAGCTTATTTCTACTTCTTATTGGCGGGGCTTCATTAAAAGAATTTTTGAATGGATGATTGTAGGTTTGTGCTCCTTCAAGTTTTTCTTCATCCTATATTTATCAACATGAATTATTGTAATCTTAAAGCAAGCTCCCAAATTTTCCTTTTGAAGCATTAATTTAAGTATTAACAAGCACAGTTATTGCTGAGAGTCGATTTAAAGAATAAAGAAGATCATTTACCATATTAGTCTGTTGGGTGTAGAGATTTTTAACTCCTCCAAGATCGTTTGTCCTTGTTGATAGACCGTTCATCAAAACACGCATTGAGGGCTCTCCTATATAGTTTTGATTAATTTTTAAAATGCTTCAGTGCATTAAATTCAAAATCTCACCTGAAATACTATTCTCTGAGCTCATTAAATATTTTATTTGCAACACTCCTTGACTATCTTTCCCTTCATCCTTAAACTTAATCTTCTGTATTTGATTTTCCTTTTCTGTACCATTATCCAACTTCCACTCATCAAAATTTAAAAATTCGAAATCCCTACCAAACCTCAAACTCCCCTCTACCCCCTCCTATCGCTCTATCTCACCTTCCTCCTTATTCCTAACCATATTTTCCAAAGTATGCTCTCTCTAAAAATGACTAAAACCCATACCTCAAAATACTTCCTCTGCCTCTTCTTTGCATCTTTTATTCTCTTCCTCCTCTCTTCTTCTATCTGAGCCTGAAGCATCATTCTCTCTTGTTCTATCACAACCAGTCAGAGCAGTAAGGGCAGAAGAAGAAAGAGAATAGCTTAAGGGAGTTAAGAAATGGAATTTTGGACTTTCTTACTTCTTTTTCTGAGAAGTCTTCTGTACCTTTTCATTCTGATGTAGAATATTTTTGAGTATTTTACTGTATAGGAGGTGAGAGTGCATTTTTAGGGGTTGAAAGTGGTCAAGAGATGGTTGAATGGTGTTTTAGAATGCTGAAGGATGATAGTTAGGTATAAATTTTTTGAAAAATATTAGAATCGTATTATTGAAAAAAAGTATTTTTATTTAAAATTTTAATACAAATCAATCCTTCAAATTCAAAAGTCTAAATTGTTAAAAATTAATTAGGTAAAACTTCATTAGAAATTCTTGTTTACAGAATTAAAGAAAAATCTTAGAAATTAGTTTTACTTTACAGGATCAAACTCAGCAAAAATATGTAGTGTAATTATAAATTTAGAAGCTAAATCTGAGGACTTACCACTTGCAAAACAAATTAGTTTCAGATACAGCATCTAAAATAAGAATTATAAGGATATTTTACTATATTCACTAAACAAACTGCCAATATGTTGATTCATATAATTGTGAGGCAAATGTCCCTAGATGTTTTGCTTGTGCCTAAAAATAAAAAATTTCCTTACTATCAATATTCCAGTCTTCAGGGTCAGTGTGAGTCAATAAAATTACTATCAGAATGAGTGTGATAGGTTCATTAATTTGCTGAGTTAGAAAGCTAAAGCTTATCACCTTGTAACTTTTGAAAATTAATGTTGATGCCCAATAGGAACTTTGCAGTAAAAAGAGCATCCACAATATCGGATTAGTGTATTTATGAGGAGTATTCAAAATAATCGCAGCAAATAGTATTTTCCTCAGTAAAGATAGTGCGTTAAAAATCCTAGCAAATCTAGCATTTCTCAAGCCAGCAAATAACTCTCCGAAAAATCAGCTAGATTGGATATCAACAAGTCTATATTTTGGTCTCTGATTATTTCTATTATTTAAACTATCTGAGCGGTTAGCATTCCTGGAATTTTTATTTGAACTTTCTGGCCTTGTAGCATAATTATTTATTTCATTTTCATCCTCTTCTCAAAGATAGAATAAGAAGCATACTCAAACTCAAATGAAGAAAAATCCAAGGATTGCTAGTGTAATTTGGGCGAAGGTTTGAGAAAGCTCAGACGTCTTGCTTGAGCTGCTATTAACCTTAATCTCATTTTGGTTTGTGATCATTAATAATAAAAAGCTTTCCAAAAGGAGTCTAATGTAAATGCTCATAAATATCTTCCATGGGAAAATTTTCAACACAGTCCATATATTCTTCAAGCATTGTCATGGGCAAGATTTTAGAGTGTTATATTTATCTTCTTGGTCTTCTCCTCCTTCTAATTCTTCATCAGGGTTGGGTCTAAATTACAGAATCAATAAAATTTGAGAGAAACCTTTACTCTTCATCTGAAGGATGATGTTGCTCTCCTTGTTTTTCTTCTTCAAAAGAAGTTGGCTGGATTTTCCCTTTTCCTAAATAGTAAATGATCTATTTAATTTATTCATTACCTTCTATCTGTTCTATAAGGCGTGTCTTCCTATAGGAATTATTCCTCAACTGTGTTATAGAAATTACCTCTGGTTTTGACATTTTCAAATGCTAAAATATTAATGGTAAATTACATTTTTGATCATTTTCAGGTAGTATAAATTGCTGCTCCAAGTATAAACATAACCAGTAGGGCAAGCTGAATGAGCATGACCAAAAGGAATACACATAATAAATTTTTGTTGTGATGGAGGGCACTTGCCGATTCATATCCGTTGTAATTAGTAACTTCATCTGTATTTTTAAAGTATGTACTATTAAAGAACGATTGGAGATACAGCAGCTTTGGGAAACTATTTCCCAGAAATTCAAAATCAACCATCAAGAATCTGAAATTTGATAGGAAACATCTGACCTCCAGATGGATATGAGTATCAATCAGTAAAAAGAGAAGTATTATCTGGAATTGATCGATTAGCATGTACATGCCACTTGGAGCTTTGCCTGTTAGAGCAAGTGAAAATATTCCTAGTATAATCGTTGTGACAACTAATGATATCATAAATGTCAACAAAACTTGAACATTGCCTCAATTATCAGATTGTTTCTGTTCCACAAAGGAAATATTAAATGAATATGGCTCGCATTCCTTGCAGTCTGTTTCAACAGCTAAAAGAGGTGAATAGAAAAGGTGATTTTTAGTGCATTAATTGAAATAAAAGAATTTATTTTTCTATTGAGCCGGATTTTAGCGATAAATCTTCCAACTCTGTCTCACAATAGATCCTTTATTACGTATAAATGAAAGCTATCACACTAGTTTATAGATTAGTTTTGTAGGCTTCTCTGGAGTCAGTATTGAAGGAAATAATTTCCTCGAAAAAAGAACTGATATGTTGTGATAATAGTGCTGAGATTTATCACTCCAGATTAATTTGATCTAAAAATCTATTTATTGTGGACTAGCTATTCATCTATTGTGTTGGAGAAAATTGGTGAAAGCTTTTGCTAGATCCAATGTAGAGAATGAAGACAGGGCTACCAATACTGATTGACTCTCAGATCTTGATAAAAAATTCAATTTAGGTTAAAATCTACCCCTCCTTCTTGCTTAGAAGGTTTAACTCCCAGACCTTATAGCCTTAGAATTTTAACATCCTCTGTCCTCTTTTATAAAATTAAAGCACCAGGATCTAGCCTAACAGAGAGATCCAATTATGATGAATTTAAGATGTGGCTCATCTAAGGAAGTTACTAATAGTAATCCATTTTCTTTGGTAGTGATAACAATTCATCTTTATCTTCAGAGAAATGAAAAGAATAAAGATGACAACAACTTACAAATCTTTCCCATATAGTTAAAGGTTTTCGGCCTCATATTTTTAGTATGATTGAACTGAATTTCATTGGCTGTTGAATTGAGGTCAGCTATATTTCAGAGTTATTGATAATCAAAAGCAGTTAATATTTACTAACGAAAATGGAAGAAAGACAACTATCCAAAATATATCAGTTCAAGAGTGTAGAGAAAGTTTATCTTTGATGAGTAGTAAAGCTCTTTGACTCTGGTGTATCACAAATACCTATTATCAATTGACATTATAAAAAAATGGCAAATTCATGAAGAGAGTGTTAGAACCTTTAAAATAAATTCTAAGGTAAATGCTGAATTATTGATAAAATCTTTATCTAAGAGAAATAGAATTCCTTATTTATAATTCCATTTAAATGAACATTGGCATGGTGCTCTTTTGCCTACAACCATTTCATGAATACAAAGACCTTTAAGGAAGTATTAGTCAGACATAGACATTTCTGTTATCTTACAGAATTCTTTAATGTCTCTTCCACCAGACTCTTCCTTGATGGCTTCGAAAGTGTAGGTAACTCCTTTCGGACATCGGTTATTGCAATATGCTGATCAATACGAGTGGTTCACTGGATCCATTTGGGAAATCGTTTTGTTTATTTGCTCTTTGGAATTCATAACATGGCAGGTAAATGAGACAGTTTTCTA